TTTCTCCCCAGGAGATCTCTCTCGTAAGTTTCCCCGCTGCTCCACAATTCCTGTAACAGTCTTCCCCAGTTAGTCCTTGAAATTTTCAAGTTACCACACAGTCTGGGCAGTTTGAAAATTGGCTTGTGTCCATGAGTTCCCTTTACCATCCCTGTATCACAATCTATGTTTAAAAAAAATAGTTTTGCTTCGTGCTGACTACTTAAAAAAAAAACAAAACCAAAAAATTGGCCAACTTTGGTTACTCCACTACGATTTAGATACTATTCTAGAAGGAACTGTATCACCAGGGAATGATGGAGCAAAATATTTTGGTAGGAGGTGATAAGTTTTTATTTTACTAAACAGTACTAATAGCCAAAAGAATTGGGATCAAGGAAGTACTCACTTCGAGGGGCTTCCAAAAAACCCTACATACGTTATTGCAGTTCTAGAACTCAACCTTTCAGATAGGCGGATATTTTGTTTGAACCCCTTAAATGCTCTGGAAGACATCTGGTGTACGGTGCTAAGAGCCTGCATTCTGATACAAGACAGCTCTAGGTTTGCTGTCTGCCCCCTGCTAGCTGCGTGGCACCCGGCAGGTCACACACCACTAGAACCACGGCTAGTAATGACAACAGAGAGACCACCTCATATGTACTGAGCGGTGGCTATATGAAGACAGAGTTTTATACTCAGTGCTTTGTAGTGTTTTCTATTTATGATCCCATTTAATCCTCATGGAATCCTTGTGAGGGGAGGTCCTATTGTCATCGTTTTATGAATGAGCCCAAGGAAGAACTTAATTCTTAAAGGACACACAATGAGCCTAGGTCTTGGGACAAGAACCTGGTGATTCTGTCTCCACGTTCTGAGTTTCTGCCCATCTACCTGCCTCCCTGAGCCACAGTTTCCTTGTCTGTGAGATCCGAACAATGGTAACCTTTGTAGAGTGTTGGCAGGAGGGTCAGAGATCATGGAGTAAGACGTATCCCTTCTTTGCACACATCTCTGCAAACAGAGACAACCTCTACTCACTTGATAGAATTACTACAGGTTCATCAGGGCCAATGAGCAGGGTCACCAAGGACCCCAGCACCTGCTTTGTGACTATTGGGATGCCTGCCTAGACATATGAATTCTCTAGTCAACATTCTCCTGTTGGTAAGCTCGCTTTCTCCTTCATGAATCTGTGTTTTTAACTTCTTCCTACAAGATTTTCCTGTTGGCAGCTCTAGCTGCCATGGTGGGATTTTTACCCAGGAAATTTTGTGATGTTATCTGACCTGGTAGCATTTATATACATTTTTAAAGACTGTTGCAAAATCAGAAATCTCAGTATAAGGCAGCCACATCCAAGGCAGAAGTCTGGTCCAACAGTCCCCGCTTCCATAGCAGCCCTTTTCATAAACACTAACAACTACCAGAGAACAGCATTACAAAGCACCAGTCACTACTTAATTGTGTGCCGAAAGGCTAAGATGTGTAAACATTAAAGATATGCATTTTTTGCTATTGGAGATACTTTGAGGCCAGACCTACAGAATGCAACAGCTGCCGTCCAGAGCCTTCCTGCACCAAGAGATGTTCATCTGGAAATTCCAGGCCTGGCCAGACAGCTTCTAGTCCTCAGAGGACCTGCTGGATGTCACCCAGATGTTCTCTCGCCCCACAGCACCAGCAGGGAATGTACGATCCCTATCTGGAGCTCCTTCTGCTCCCTGCCCTTCGGCCCTGATGGCCGTCCTACTAACGATTGGTCCTTGGCTAGTCTGTCACACAATTGTTTAATGCCTACCAGGCTAAAATTTCCATTTCCAAAGCAATCTTTTCCCAGCATGTGGATCCAGGTCAGAACGCTCTGGGGGGCTTGTTAGAAATGCAGATTCCTCTGCCTGTCTGTCCTTTCGACTGTGGGATCATTTGTTTCTCTTGTTAGCATGGAAGCCCTGAAGAGTAAAAACTGGTCTGTTCCCCCAATAGTGTGTGGCGCCTAGTATGCACTCAGTACATATTTGTGGAAAGAATTAATTCCTGGGCCCGATAATCGACCTCCTGAATCAAAATCCCTAGGAGCGGGGCCAAGGAATCTGCATTTTAAAGGCACACCCAAGTGATTTTTTATGCACACTTAAATTTTAAGAACCCTTGTTCTAAAGTAATTGAGCAAATTCTAAGATAAACAGAAAGATGAAAAGTTTTGGCCCCAGAGGCCCCCATACTAGCTGTCTGGCCAGTCATTAAGGTAAAGTCACCAAATTACTATCAACCCTGAGTTAAACTTCTGCCTTCCTCTCGCGTAACCTCCAGCACATACCCGCCACCTTCAGGCTCTGGGATCCTAAGTGGATAGAACAAGTATCTTGGGCACAGTGCCCAAGGGTGTCTGGAACCTGTCCCCGTCAAGAGCCACAGCCATTGCTTTCTGCCTGAACTTGATTATTTTACCAGCCCGCCCCAAAACTCTGATAGGGAAATGGAACAGACTGTCTGTTCGTTACTGTTCTCCCCAGCGCACTTGAATGACACTTCTGATCCAGCAAAGTCAGGTATTATCGGCGAGGATTATTATCTTAAAAGACTCCAATCTTTCTAAATAGGTTTCCTATCTGCTTGACCTTTCTAGGAAGCTTGGTGTCTCCTGTCTAGTTACAATCAACTTTTTACCAACATTTGATCTTGGGCAGTCACCTCCCTTCTCTTGGCCACTTCCTTGTTTGAAAAATGACACAATTAGACTGGAAACAGGTCTTCAGCCCCTTCCGATTATAATGTATCCTGATCTGTGACTTCTTGGTGACACCTTACTGCCTATGCTTAACAAAACACCCAGGTGTGATTAGACCCGCGAATTGCCGCTCTCAAACTTGTCACCCAAAACTCTCCAAAAGAGAGTGTTTTACTCTCCTTGGGCACGTAGAAAACTAGGGAAAGTTGGGGATTTGCAACCTGTCTCTGAGAATCCTCTCTCAGCTTCTACATTTACCTAGAAAAATACAATGGCAATTTTAATGTGCTGAAAGCTTTATGTAAAAGACAGCTTCAATACCCAAATTTCTTCTGAAATCGGCACATTTTATTTAGATCAGCGCTGAAGCAAGGTGTTTGAGCATAGCCTGATCTAGAGACATGGAAAATCACTGCTTCGTGGGCTGCCCCCAAGGCCGAGCTGTGAAGTGTAAGGAGAAGTGTAGGGAGTGAAGTCCTTGTCCCCGCCACAGCCCCCTGCTTTTCCCTTCCCTCTGTCCCTCCTTCAGAAGCCCCATCTCACCAAAGTTCCCCAGAGATGGGCTGCTCCCACCCAAGATTGTACCCTTACCACCATAGATAGGTTCACTGGCCTTTGTTCCAACCCAGCCTGACTAATGACTGGTAACTTGTCCCTTCCTGTTGCCAGATAATTGCGTTTTAACTGCCTTCCTTTGGAAGACAGCTTCACATAAATTAGTGGTTCTTGAAGCGTTCAGGCCTAATGTCTGCTTTACACGCCAACTACTTTGCGGTGCCTCCTTTGTAAGCCTGGAATGAAAGTTGCTGGAAATAAAACTTACTATATAATGCTCGAAGTATTTTTATAAAATGGGTGTTAGGAAAGTAAGTCATAATAAAATAACAAGTTTCAGTATGTAAAACTTAGAAGATATAATGAAGTAGCCCAATGCTTGCTCTGTACTTAAAATCACAGGGACAGCCAGGAATGAATTATTGACCTCAAGACAAATACCAGCCCCTCCCCACACTGCTCCCTAAATGCAATAGCCTTTCCCATCTGTTATTGTGACAACCTCCTGCCCATAATTTATTTTTCCAAACTGCCTTTTAAAAACCTAGATCAATGACCCTGATGTGAAAAGTTAAGCCAGTTTAGCAACCTCAAGAGAGCTATTTTAAAATTTTTTCACTATTGGGGCGCCTGGGTGGGTTGAAGCCTCTGCTTTCGGCTCAGGTTATGGTCCCAGGATCCTGCTCAGAGGGGAGCCTGCTTCCCCCTCTATCTCTGCCTGACTCTTTGCCTACTTGTGATCTCTGTCTGTCAAATAAATAAATAAAATCTTTAAAATAATTTTTTTTTTCACTGTTCCTGGCACCAAGCAATGACTCTCTCCTTTCCTTGTTTTTCCCCCCCAAAGTCTTGGGAGATGGATGTCATGTTACATAACAATCTCAACAATAAAACCTAACAATTATGGAGTGTTCCCACATGCTGAGCACTTTTAAAATCATTTTGCAGTTATCAACTCATTTAAACCTCATAACTCCATAAGTAATATTATTATCACTGTGTTCCAGGGACAGTAATGAGAGGCACAGAGAAATCAAGTCACCTGACTAAGATCACGCATCTAGCTCCATCTCTCTTCTTATAGAAACCAACTCCTTTGATTATTATAATAATGGGGTTTTATAATTAGCCTAGAACTATCTGTGTTTTTATTTTAGGAAAGAAACATTTCGGGGAGGAAAGAAAGGATGTGTCTTTTTCCAAAGTCCGTGTATCTAATTGTTTGAAATTTGAGCCCCTGTTTTTCTGGCCGGCTTCAGGCTTTTAGTACTTAGAATGTAATTAGGTAGCTCTTTTACTTCATATTTTCATTCAATTGTTTCGAATGGATTTCTCTTCTTGGCATGTCATCTATATGTGAAATTGCAGCTACATTCATTCGAAGATTGGGAATACAAACCTCTTTTCCGCACTGTCCTTTCATTGCCAAGCGTCTTATGCCAAAGCAGGCTTGTTTTCAACCGAGTTAGGGGGATGACCTAAAAAGCAGGTTCTGTGTAGCCTAGAGGGCCCCGTGGCCGTTCTAACAGCACCGTGTGCTCCTGAGTCCCCTCGATGTGTCAGAAATTACATCCTGCATCTTTCAGGGAGAAACTGTGTTTCTTCCTGGACACAGTCAACGAGTTGTTTTAACTGATCATTTAGGGTTGACCTCTTACCCTGATGCGGCTGCTTGTAAAGACCACAAAGTAAACTATTTGAAGCAAACCCCTAATATATTTATTTTTCCTGTCAGGGGGAAAATGATCCCATCTGATCTTGAAAGAAGGATCCTTGAAGCCAAACAAAAAGTAAGTGCTTGTAGGGAGCTTCATCCAGCCCATAACAAGCTAAGGGTACATATTTCTGATTCCATCTAGTGGAGAACACTCTTTGGTTTGGATTTTTTTGTTTGTTTGCTTTTGGGGTTTTGGGTGGGGCTGTAGTGGGGGGCAGAGGGAAAGGGAGAGAGAATCCCAAACAAGTCCCACAGCCAGTGCAGAGCCCAGTGTGGGGCTGGATCTCACAACCCTGAGATCATGACCTGAGCCAAAAATCAAGAGTCAGACACTTTACCAACTTAGCCACCCAGGTGCTGCCACTTTGGTTTTGTTTTGAAAAGAGGACCCAATTCTCAACCTCCCCGCTTTACTGAGAATATGGGATTTTTATATCTAGTCATTACTCATTTCTCTGAGTTGCAGCCCCTGCTTTGGAAATATCTAAGTTGCTGTTTAAATAATATACCCTGTGATAACATATACGGTGATGCTGTAGGAGTTTCTACAGCATTCGTCTTTTTATACGCTGAGAGTTGGCATTAAACAGACATCCATTTGAAAGATCATTTTCACAAGTGGAAGATACCACAATACCAATGCAGCATGAGTTACCACGGTGTGGTTCTTTGAAAGGGGCCAATTTTTCCTGCCTAGGACTATGGTTATGATTGGCTCTCCAAGCATCTTTTTCTCCGGCAAGCAATTTAGAAGTCATAGAAGCAGCAAGTTCTGGAGACCTGTGAAGGATTTCCACAAAGCTCTAGAAAGTCATTTCTATCCCTGGGTGGTTTGCAAACCAGAGAGCTTGTTTGTAGAACTCCCTTAATGTAACTTTTAGTGGATAAGACCTACAGTTCTTCATTCAATGGCAGGCTATGTGTATTTGATTATTATCAACTTAGGAGTAGTTATTTCTTTTCTCTGCCTTTTCTTTTTCTTTTTCTTTTTTTTTTCTACAAAGTGGCAGCAGGAGGTTCCCTGTGCTTCTGTATTCGAACTACTTCTAGGATAGTAAACCACAAGATTAAACCTTTGCTGCCACCTAAAGACGGACTCCGACATCCTGTCACATCACAGCTGTTCATTCTGTTTGAGGCACTCTTCTACTAGTGTCTAGCAACTTTCATTTAGCCAGGGCCAGACAGACTGAAGACTACTTAGATAATGGTCATGGCTTATTGTCTAGCCCATGAACCCTTCCCTCTAAGGCATCCCAAATAAATGATCTCACAGTTTTCCAAAAAGGAATAATGGGGTTGGTAAGATTTCCTTCTTATTCTTTTGCCTGCTCACTCTAGGGGACTGTTATGTAAAAGTAAGATTAGAAAGTGAGCAAAAAGGAAGACTAGAAAGTGAACAAAGTTGGGGCAAAGAGTATCTACCTGGAATATATAAATGGCTGCAGGCCACCATAAAGCTCCCTCACCTCTGGGTCCAGTGTGGCCTCTCCTGAGAACCAGTGTCTGTTCTCCTAAGGCAACTGGCAGGTCCAACAGAATGGCCTGGAGAACTCAGATCCTGGAGATCTCTACTATCCTCCCAGGCTCTAAAGGGTCAACAGTCCTCGTCATGGTTCCAAAACTGGAGATGTATGTATGACAGAGGGAGAATATCCGCTGTTTTTATCAGCTTAAAAAAATAATAATAATCAGGACTCCTTGGTGGCTTAGTTGTTTAAGTGTCTGCCTTCGGCTCAGGTCATGATCTTAGGGTCCTGGGATCGAGTCCAGGGTCCATCAGGCTCCCTGCTCAGCGGGGAGTCTGCTTCTTCCCTCTACCTCTGCCTGCTGTTCCCCTTGCTTGTGCGCTCGTGCACGCGCTCTCTCTCTAACAAACAAACAAAATCTTTTTAAAAAAAAATTTTTTTTTTTTTTAGATTTTATTTATTTATTTGTCAGAGAGAGAGAGGGAGAGAGAGCAAGCACAGGCAGACAGAATGGCAGGCAGAGGCAGAGGGAGAAGCAGGCTCCCTGATGAGCAAGGAGCCCGATGTGGGACTCGATCCCAGGACGCCGGGATCATGACCTGAGCCGAAGGCAGCTGCTTAACCAACTGAGCCACCCAGGCGTCCCTAAAAAAATTTTTTTTTAAAAATCCTTGACACCCTGTTTGACATTGTTTGGGGCTTTCTTGTTTGTGTAGGGATTTGTTCCTTTCCTTGTGAGCGCCACGGCTGGGACCACTGTGTACGGAGCATTTGACCCCCTCCTGGCGGTTGCTGATATTTGCAAAAAGTACAAGATCTGGATGCATGTGGATGTGAGTATCCCATAGGGGTGGCCACGAAAACGTCCTTGCACATTTATTCATTTGGGGCTCATGGAATGAAATCTGTTTTCTCTCTCTTTCTCTCTCTCTCTGTTTTTTCCCTTTGGGAGCCTATTTTCAGAATGGGGATATTTAAGCTTTTGAAGCATGCAGAGATAAAGTAGCACACAACTCACACAAACCCCAACGTTGACTGGAGGAAGTCAGAGGCTGACCTGCCTCAATGTCCCCAACATGATAATATGCTTGTTTTTATGACCAGTACCCACGCTGAGCATTTAGCTCTTCATTCTTCAGTCTGTAACATCCTTGGAGGAATGCAACTACGCACATCCATACACAACCACACACAGTAGTTTGTACTTCCCTATAAGAATGATCCAAGAGGTAAAAAAGAGTTACATTTACATAGGAAGCCCCAGGGGTGGGGGGCACTCAAACTCAAGTCAGATATTTGTATATTTGGAGAGGAAAGCAGACACGAGATGTATGCTTACTAGGATGTATGGGCCACCAGGTTTCCAGTTCCTTAGCTGAACCAGCTAAGAAGATAAATTATATTTGAAATGTTTTTTACTCCAGACCTAGTCACACTGAAATGAAGATGTGCCCACCAAAACATTTTCAAATTAAGAAAAAAAATTGTCAAGATTTAGAAGGACAAATAGAAGCAATTTAAGCTTAGACCAGTATGACTCAAAGACCAGCTGTTATCTGCAGACGGCTTGTTACTAATCCACTATTACTCAGCAAGGCTGAACCAGGAAGATTTCCATGATCCCCCAGTGTTCCCCTGCATAGTGGTTACCAGTCTTCTTTTCCTCCCCTGATTCACAGTGTGAGTTGTTCTTCTATGATCTTCCTTTCGCAGGCAGCTTGGGGTGGGGGATTACTGATGTCCCGGAAGCACAAATGGAAACTGAGCGGCGTGGAGAGGTACACCCACTTTTCTTGTTAACGATGTAATGTGTGAAAGCTAAATGTGAAAAGCAAGTTGTATACAATTTCCAAGCACTCTTGGAACACACGTGAGCCCATTCTCTGCAGTGTTTGTGTGCCTTGACCTGTGTGGTCGTAGACCCATGAATATCATGTATAAATAACAGAAAGACATCCAATGCTCTATCCAGTGGCCCAGGCAGAATGTTTCTCAAATAGAGATTCCTACCTGGAGTCCATGGCTGGCCAGAGGACTCAGGAATGACCTTCCTACAATCTCTGAACCAACGACCAAAATTATTTAAAACCTATTGACAGGTCATAGTTTCCTGGGGAGAAGATCTATCCTAAAAGGATAACTTCCGCTGCTGCAAGTAAACCAACAAGTGACTTTGCACCGTATAATTTGTCAGCATTGAAAGCATGGGTTTGGGGTTTAATACGGCCAGTGGAAAGCAAAACTTACTTGTGAGAGCATCATTTCATGGTTTCATTCCCATGATAATTTCCTTTTTTTTATGTAGCTTTGATGTCGCAAAGCAGCTTTCCCCCACCCAGAGACTAAGCAGTAGAGGGTTGAGAAAAGCTACTAAACCTAAAAGAGGTGAAGAGGTGATACTTGATTAACGTAAAACATATTCAGATCTCAAGAGAAAAGGGGGAAAAAATGATAGAATGCAAAATCAGCCTTGGGCTTTGCGGACCGTGCACAGAGGAAGCTCGGCGTTCCCCAGTTCTCCCATGACATCCTGGCAGGTCAACAGCAGAGGTGAGCTCTGACCCTCCAGGCAACTAACCGAGAAAGCCTGAGCTTGTCCGAGAGGCCGCCAAGGGCCCACCATGCCCTGCCGAGTAGCCAGATGCCGCCCAGGAAGAGTTTCCCACTGGATCTGCCGCTAGACATCTTGGCACAGTTTCTGTTCCGGGATGAGGTGAGGAGCTGATGGAGCGTGGGAGCACCTGTCGGCACAGACGCCATGCGGCCAGCCTGGGATGGATGTGCAGGGCAGGCTCCGCGATGCCCAGACCCATTCACATGCAGAGAACCCGACGGGGTGGGGGCCACCGAGGCAGAGTCAGGGGTACAGTGCCTTGCCCGTGGAAGACTCGAGAGACCAGCGGAGGCCCAAGTCAGCAGGGCAGCTGTCCCTGAGCCAGCCGACTGGGGTCAGGCGCTGGCAGGGAGCACACCCGTGCCCTGATGGCAGGTTCCCATTTAGCGATGGGAGGCTGAAGGCGGGCAGAGCCCCAGCCAGCCTGAGCCAGTCTTGGCCTCTGCCTCTGGTCCTCTGGGGCTCCTCCCTTGCCCAGTTCCTTTTTGCCATGAAGATCTCTACGAAAGCAGACACTAAAGGAGAAGGCAACGCACTACACAGGGAGAGATGATGGGAGGGGAAAAAAGAACAGCTTGGAAGGTGCCTGCTCAGATGATCAGAGCAAAACCGAATTCTCGTGCTTTGAGAGTTGGCCTGTCCGCAGTACTTTCTCTCCTTCAGTTTCTTTCTGACTGGCACAAAAAGTAAGCGTCTATTATTGTACCTTTAATGCCACCTAGGACTCTGAGTGCTGAAAGCCCTGGCGCGTCCTCCCCAGTGATGACTTAAAAGCTCACTAAATTACCCACCCTGAGCCTTGGAAAAATAAACACCCACACACTTTTGAACTAAAGACTATTATTTCGGAGCAAAGCTTCGAACATTCAGCATGGAACATGGAGTCTCCTCCAATTGCCGCAGTTCTGAAACCATATTGTAACTGGATCTACAAAGTCGAAGAGCCAAAGATGAAGCCCCCGAAAATGAGGGACTGCCACCTACATGCCCGAGACCGTCTGTCTTGCTGACTTATTGGCAAAAGGCACACCGTCTTTGCTGAATGCGGTTGTAGAGCCAGTGGAAACCCCTGGGCATAAGGACATGGGCATTCGTTTAGGGACAGAAATTTGCCTCCCTTGGGGGTACCCAGTTTCCCAAAGATTTACTCTAAAGGGGAGGAAACTGGTGGTCAGTTCTTGTCCCCAGATCAGGAGGTGCTCCCGTGCCCAGACAGTCATCCTCTTAACAGAATGGCACAAGTAACCAGAGCCTACCCGGCATTCTGTGCAAATACCTACCAAGTTCTTAGTAATGGCTTTCTTCCTTGCTAATGCTGTCAAATTTTCTAGAGACAGCATAGCCGAGAGGGTGTGTCAAGGGTCCTAACACCCCCAAGTATGCTTCTGTGCACTGCCAGCTGTCTCCTTTAATCCCTCTCCACAGCAGGCTGTGGCTTGCCTGCAGTGTCCCCCTGTGGCCGCCCCCTCTGAAGCCTTTCTGGCCCAGCTGAAGGTCCTGGAACAACTTCAGCCTTATTACCAATCACTGTCCTCACTCCTGCCCCAAGAGCCAGGGGTTTAGAAATTCAGTTCAGGAGAGATTGAACCTCTGCCCTATGCAAGGCACAGCAGCAGGCCCAGCGAGGGCACAGAGACGACTGTGGTGTGAAGCCTGTTTTCAGAGGACCTGGAATCTAGTAGGGAAGAGTGACAGCCAATGATGGCTTCAGCTTCAAGGCAGAGGAAGTAAAGGCTCAGAGGCAGACAAGCAAGCTGATTGGCAAGCACAGAAAGGGACGATTCCTGCTAAACAGGGTCATTCAAGGAAGCCTTCGCATGGGTGTGGGCACTGGTGCTGCCTCAGATGGAAGTAGAAGATGGACGCTCAAGGTGAAGATCAAGGGCACGGAGGTCTGGAAGGGTCGTTGGAAGAAGTCCAGATAAGTTTGGAGGGAGCCTGTGGGACTCACGGCTGTGACTAGGAAGCTCGTGGGGTGTCCACAGGTGTTGCGCAGGGAGTCTCAATGGAGGGCCTGCCCACAGGGCCAAGTCAGGATCCGTAAATCCCTGAGCTGAGGGTCCCTGCTGTAGGAGCCACTATTTTGCATGGACAGCATTCTGTATCTCAGCTTGGAGTGGGGAATGAAAGCCCTTGTCATAGCAGCCATGGGTGGGGGGCAGAGGGGGTAGGGGGCAGTGAGGGGACAAGTCATATGATCTCACCTGCCCTTTGGAGAGGCAGCTCTGGATTCAGAGGAGATGGAGGCCAGGGACCCAGTAGAAGCCACTGAGCTCTTGAGAATGTCCAGGTGAGGGGTAGTGGTGGTGGGAGAAGCTGAGGGTACAAACTGGGCAGTAGCTCCCAGGAGGGCAATGAATGGAGGGACCGAGCAGTGTGGCTTATCCAGGCAACAGGACGAACCATCACAGGGACCTGCTCATCTACAGGACCACATATAATTCAAAGAGCCGGTGCTTCTGTTGACCTCCCCTGCTTCTGAAACATTCTGTGTGTTTATATAGATAAGTCGCTTTCTAGTTACACGAAGAGCCTTGTATATTATAGAATGCTTTGACACTCTTTGTATATAATACTTCTTTTTGACTTATTTTCCAATACTTTAAGAAATTCCAGAGACTTTCCATTTTTTTTTTAGATTTTATTTATTTATTTGATGCACAGAGAGAGATCACAAGTAGGCAGAGAGAGTGGGGAAGCAGGCTCCCTGCTGAGCAGAGAGCCCGACGTGGAACTCTATCCCAGGACCCCGAGACCATGACCTGAGACGAAGGCAGAGGCTTAACCCACTGAGCCACCCAGGCACCCGAGACTTTCCATCTTGACAGACTTTACAGACTTCTATAATATGTTGAAAAGTATGGATAACATTTTTTTGTAGATATCTTTGACCCAGCTAGCATTAGCTTGTTGTACTCTCTGAAACATCTTCCTCCAAAATTCCAAGCATGAAGTACTATAGAATAAAGCACTTTATACAGAGTTTAAAAAAAAAAAAGCTAGACCTGAAAGGGGAGATGTCGGGAGAGCAGGAAGAAGAAAATGTTACTAACACGCTGAGGTTTGAGAGCTGGATGTGTGGGAGGAAGACAGTGTGAGGCGCTGAGGCACAGAACACACGAGAAAGAACAGATCTGGAAGGATGAGGAGGGGCAAGTTAATGAATTTGTGTGGGGTCTGCTAAGTTTGAGGGGCAAATGAGGGCACAAGGACAGGTCTTAAGACAGCCCTCAGGGAGTCAGCTTTCTGTAACTTAGAGTAAATCAAAGAAACCACGTGACTGAACCTCACAGCAAAATACTTTGAAAGAACCTGGGGCTGTTTTTCATAAATTGCCAACATTTCTCAAACAGACTAAGGGCATGTCACTGAATCACTCTGTGCAGCTTTTTGCTGCGTTTATGAGGCAGCCCCTCTGTGAGAGAGGCAGGACAGGGAACTCAGTGAAGGTCGTTGTGGGGCTCGGCAGAATCTGCTCTAGTCTTTGAAAGACAAGTTGGCCACTGCATCTAAACAAACACCTCCAGTCAGAGAAATTTTCTTCCCCATCAGGTGTCATTACTGAAAAAGCTGAGTTTCGTCAGGATTAGGCATGAAGCTGTGGAATATTCTAGAAGCAGTGTATATGCACTCAATGGCACAAAGTATGTAAATGTTAGAATTGGAATTAATAGTAGGATCCAACCTTATTTAATGCTTACTGTGTATCAGAAGATGAGCTGGCCTATTCACTGATTCAGATGAGATCCCCAGGCCAGTAAGCGTTCTCTGACTGGCCAGCTGATGCCCGCCATTCATCAGACAGAAGAATGGGATCATTCCCAGCTTCTCATTTCTTCCCAAGGTTCTTGCACCTTGAGTGCAGGGAGCAGGTAAGCCCAAGTCTGTTGTTCAGCCAGAGAACAGGCAGCGACCCATAACACTTTGGAGACAGCTGCCCTGGGTTGCTCTACTTTCCCTCTTCTTGTGCATCTGTTTATACCAAGGTCACATTCATGATTCTCATCCCCAAGGAATCCCTTAGGCTCTCAGAAGACGCACAGGGGTTCATCTGGCCTGATAAATACATCAAGTGAGCAATGGGAACTCACTCATGGAGGGGACACTTGCTTTCCCTGGGAGCTGGAGGGGGAGCTGGTTGCAGCAGTTCAGGGGGAGTGAGGGAGAGAAGATGAATGAAATTGAAGAAGTTTGAAGAGAAAATAACACTTGATCACTGATCTTACTTAACAATAAGTAAGATTTATCCAAGTGAAGCAAAGAGAGATGAATTCCAGGAAGAGAAAATAGCATTAAGAGACCCAGGAGCATAAAAATAGAATTTTCTGAGAATAAAAAATAATCTGGTGTGATGAAAATGGTGTCATGAAAAATGAAAATGGGCATGGGATAGAGCGAGGACACAAGACTGAACATATGGCCTATACGCACCCCTGATGGCATCATCATCACCATCATCATCATTATTTTTATCATTACTATTACTACTACTACTACTACTACTACTACTACTACTACTACTACTACAAGAATATGACACAGAACTATGGTTTAGAATTTCAAAAAGCATAAATCCTTGACCATCTCTATTGATGGGAGGTCTGATGTCCTCAGACATCAGACCTTAGAGAGAGATTGTATCTCCACTGATGGGAGAGCATCATGGTTCTCAAGTGTGCTGGGATAAAATAGTTTGGAAACTGCTATTGAAGCCATAGCATATCCCACCTGTGGTCTAGACGGACGTATCTAGGTCAGAGAAGAGATGGAAATGGGATGAACTAGAAGCTATTATGAAAGGACAGATATGAAAAATGTAATTCATTTGAAGAGGAAGAAGGAGAAGATGGGTGAGAAGAACAAAATTAAGCAGTGAAATGAGCCATCGCTCTGAGCCCCAGGCCACTATGGTAATGCCTCCAGGAACAACAGAGGCACTCGAGGATAGCCCCTTCACCTGCATGGTGCCCTCCTCCTTGGCCACCAAAGGCAGGATGCGGGAGTGGATGACCCCAGTCACTCAAAGGGACTCTCAGACCATATGGAGGCTGGCCAAATTCCTCCATGGGAGCTAAGGGAGGGAGCCCATGAAGATGTCCACACTTGCTTACTCTCTCTGTAGATGAAAAAAGGTTGTAGATTTAAGAGTCCACATCTTTTTTGGTAAATTTAGCGTGAGAAATAGTGGTAAGAACCTCAAAGCTCTGTTGTCCTGGCACAGGACCTTGTAGTCTGAGCCAGTCATAGGTGTCACCCTCTTAAATCCATTTCTTTCCTTTAGGGCCAACTCTGTGACATGGAACCCCCACAAGATGATGGGTGTCCCTTTGCAGTGCTCAGCTCTCCTGGTTAGAGAAGAGGTACGTCTTTCCTGATTCATGGCCCAGTCCATCAGTGGAGTTTGGTAGAGTAAATGTGTGTAGTGACAGAATCCAAACACAGGATGATTCACAGGCTAGAACAGTGAGCCATATCCAGAAAGGGGGAATTGTTCATGAGGATAATTATGAAGTCCTATTCTTATTTCCATGTATAGGATGGTTCTATTTTGAGTCAACAAGACAGGCATGTTTCATACATGGCTAAATTGTACTGTGTGTGTTTGTGCCTGTGTCAGGCTTACTTTATTTAGCATAATGTTTGCAAGGTTCATTTATGTCATAGCACGTACCCAAATTTCATTCCTTTTGTGGCTGAACAATATTCCATTGTGTGAATATACCACAGTTTGTTTATCCATTCATCCTTCAGTGGACATTTGGGTTAATTCTGCTTTTTGGCTGTTATGAATAGAGCTACTCTGAGTGTTTGTGGACAATTATTTGTTTGACTCTCTGTTTTCAAATGATGGACCTGTTTTCAATGGAGGAATGGAGCTGCTGAATCATATGGTAATTCTGTATTTACCTTACTGAGGAACTGCCAAAGTGGCTGACCCATTTTACTTTCCCACCAGCATGCATGAGAGTTCCAACTTACTCTACATCCTTGCCAACACTTCTAAGAAAACAGGGCTAAATTTAGCTCTTAAATTTAGGTCTCTGAACCCTTTTGAGTTAATGTTTGTGTATGGTGTGAGGTAGGAGTTTGCATGCGGATACTCCATTCTCCCACTACCATTTATTGAAGAGACAACTCTTTCTCCATTGAATGGTCTTGGCACCCTTGTTGAAAATCATTCAGCCATAGATATATGGGTTTAGCTACATTGTACTTGTGAAAAGGGCATAGAATGTGTTAGGTTGTACTCAGCAAGGTCAACCATGAGTCAAGAGAAACTTAGCATTCATAAAATATTAATGAGTTAAAAAAAAGTGGAGTGTCAGGATGAGGAAGGTTGTAGTCTCCCACCGTCCTCTGGTTAAACCATGCCTCAAGTGGTTGCTTAGGTCAAGGCCAGATTGCTTATGGGATCCCATCAAGCTAGGGTTCCAACAGTGGAAAACAACTGGTGAACATGTGAGAGGGATGACTGAAATAACTAAGGATGTTTAACTTTAAAAAGAAAAAGAAACTTGAAGGGCTGGAGGATGACAGCCTTCACAGTTTAAATGACTTGCAAGGGGAAGAGATTCATTTTTTCCTTGCAGCTTTGGGGAAGTGGGTCAGTAGTACTGGGTTTGATTTGGTGGCTCAATCAGAATATGCCATGACTTTAGGTCTGACTTCCAGTCAATCAAAGGAAAGCTCTTCTAAAAATTAAGCTTCCCCAAAGGCAATGAATGGTTTCCCTTGGAATCAATTCACTGCCAGGAGAAGTGATTGGAGATTGGACAGCTAATTATTAGTAAGAGGATAGAAAAGATTCCTTCACTGAGAAGGAGTAAAATAAGCTCTAAGATCCCTTCCAAATCCAAGAGTTATGATGCTCTGACAGCATGTTCCTTATTGAGATACAAGAAATAATGCTGCTGTACAGGACTGTATTAAGTATTCTGTGATAAGAGAGTTCAGGGTTTAAAAAAAACTTGGGATATTTTAGATTAAAGACTGAAAAGGAAGTTTTGTTACCTCAGGGCATATCAGAGCCTTTAATGTGCTGATATATATTGAAACTATCCTTGAAGAAGGGATTTATGATATTGAGTTTCCTTAATTTATTTGACCCTGGGACTTTCTTTTATATCAACTGTTTGACAGCACAGCAATTATCAGTGCACTTATAATCATTGGCCACATAACGGTCTATAACTGTTTGACGGGTTGGAATCAGAGTATTGTCTCATCAGGGCCCTTTATGTGAAAAACATGACTTTCATTTATCCTTTTGTACAGTGAGACTGGTGCTGGCCAGCCTTTGGGAGAGCCTGTGTTTTGAGTTGTTTTTCCTATCCCAGGTCTGCTCTATCCATCATTCCAGACCCTGGGGTGATCTCCCTTACGACTGGTGGCACCTTTTTGTGAGCGAGATTGCATGTCAAGCTTCTGTGACCACAAAATGAAACAGAAGCACCTATTGCAATATTCAATCTTATTGGTCTTCGAGTGAATTTTCTTTTTCAAATCCATTGTCATTCTATGGCTCTATTACAATTATTTAATTTCCCTCACTCTCGATGAATTCCACTGCAAATGAAGCCCAAACTATAGGGTCAAACCCAGCTTCATTGCCTACTATCTGGTCTTTCAGGACTCAGTTAAATTGTAGTTGCAAAACATTATGTTTTCATTGGGTACTTTTTTTTTTTTTTTTTTTAAAGAATTCTCACTTCTAACTTCAACTAGGTGATCATGTTTTGGTCTTCTCTTGTCATGAGTCACAAGGGGAAAAAAAACAACAAATGCCAAAGCTTTTGTAAAATCACAGTTATATTGTAGATAATGAAAGAGTTGAAGGCTTCCTGTGGTTCATGACAAATGGAAACGTGGTGGGGTTTCTGGTGAGGAGACTGACAATGCTGTTTTAGTCAGAGCGCATGATTCATTCACTGTTCTTCGGAATAGTTCAGTCACTTTGCCACCCATTTTCCATACTAAGCTTCTGGTGCTGGGACAAATTAATGATCATTGGCAGTGAAACATCCCACTCTAACCACCCCGAGCAACTGAGTATAAAAATGCAGTAGTAACCACTCTTGAAAGGAGACTATGGCATTTGAAAGATTGGGTACTTAAGACATCTCAGGATAACAACATCAGCACATAACAATAACAATAAACTATCTCAAAAGCTATGACTTCCAAAGAGGACTCAAGCCCTAATAGCCAAATGATAAAGTCCTTGAACTAAGTACGGATGAAACACTAGATGAATCGGACTCTTAGTATTTTATGGAACCAAAGGGATTTTAAAGTATTTCAATTACAACAAAACCAAAACAGCAGGATGTTCCCTCAAAGAATGAACACTATACTCTGATCAAGATTGTTACTTTTTTTTCAAGATTTTATTTATTTATTTGACAGACAGAGATTACAAGTAGGCGGAGAGGCAGGCAGAGAGAGAGAGAGGAGGAAGCAGGCTCCCCATGGAGCAGAGAGCCCGTTGTGGGGCTCGATCCCAGGACCCTGGGATCATTACCTGAGCTGAAGGCGGAGGCTTTAAACGACTGAGCCACCAGGTGTCCCTGATTATGATTGTTGCTAAAGAAATAAGCATTCTCTCAAATGGAGAGTTAAAGCACATATGCGCTTGTTATTAACCTGTAGTTACATTTGACCCTGGGCCATTTATCCCACAGAACTGTCCTATCGCAACAGCTCATCCTGTCCAGATATTGGTCCCATTTTATTTTATTTTTCACCTGTTCAGAGAGAGAGCGAGAGAGAGACAGTGCACATGCGTGCTCGCACGAGCACACAAACAGTGGTGGGGGGGCAGAAAGGAGAATCTTAAGCAGGCTCCCTGCAGATCCTGACGTGGGGCTCAATTTCACGACCCTGAGATCATGACCTGAGCTGAAATCAAGAGTCACTCAATCACCTGAGCCAAGGTACCGATTGGCCCCATTTCCAACACTTGATTCTTCCTGCTTTCTTCCTCCAGGAAATTCAGTGTCCCTTTAAAAAATTTTTTTTCCTTAATCATTTTCATCACAATGTAAATCTAACGGAGTACTTGATCAATTCAGGAGGTTTTCCTAAGTCTTCTCTTCTCTTCCAGGGATTGATGCAGAGTTGCAACCAGATGCATGCCTCCTACCTCTTCCAGCAAGACAAGCACTACGACCTGTCCTACGACACTGGGGACAAGGCCCTACAGTGCGGACGCCATGTCGATGTTTTCAAATTATGGCTAATGTGGAGGGCAAAGGTAAGCACAGGTCGACCGTCCGAGTGTTGACTAAAGACAGAAACTGTATCTGGTGAGGTTAAAAATTATGAGGTTAAAAATGGATTTCCAAATTGAAAATCACCCGAGATTAAGCTTCTTTAATCCCGTATCTAGATACCTGCCTTCCGCACGGGCAAGGACAGAAGCCAAATTGCTTCCCGTGCTCGCTCATTTAGAAAACAAAGCCAGGTTGCTTTCTACGGCAGAACATCTGGATTCTTAAGAGGCATTTTGTTGTTGTTGTGATCTTGCTGTTGTCGTCTCTCAACTCTGGGCTTTTACCCAGTGATGGATCCCTTGGGAGGTCTGATGCCCTCTTTTTGTTTGGAGGACAGAACGCACCACGATAGCTTCCTTTTGACGTTTCAAGGGATATCGTCTATCATGTCTTTAAAACCAAAACAAAAAAACAAAACCTGGAACTACCCAGTGACCTCCTTTTGTAAGGTTTCTCTGTTTACCCCAGAATTTAACCACACTTGATCACTCCTCTCAGAAACAGAAACTCTATAGGCAGCCTTCAAAGAGGATACCTGCATGCCAAATTGTAAGGAGGCTGGAAAGGTCAAAGAGTTTTCTTTCTCATTTGGACCAGATTCCTAATTTTGGTGTCACAAATCAGTGACTTCCCACCTGGTTTCATTTACCTCCCACAGGAGGCAATGGCCAGAGCCAGCTGGACATGCCAGAGACACACAGTTAGAAAACACAACCGCTCAAAGACTCCACAAGGGAGACTTGACAAAAGAAAGGGCAAGATTAGAGGGAGGCTGGTACACCCCGAGGCACTCAGTGTTTGAGGGAGGGGCCATGGATTGGGCCGGATGCTTTCTCAGTAGCCCATACAAACGGGGATGCCCTCCCATCCCAGAGGACGCACAGATAACTTGGTCGGCACACGTGTGACCTGCCAGGTTGAGGCCACAGATTGCGTCTGTGTAAGGAACCACGTCTACAGCAGAAAGTTCCCTACGTCTTGGTTTGTAAGACGTTTCAAAGTCAACGGAAAGCCTTGAGCAGGGAGAGAGGCAGATAGCTAACAGGAAACAGAGGGGGTTTGGGAGTGAAATCATTCAGTTAGCAACTATCTTACGGAAGATTCTTTAGAGCTATTCGGGGGGAAAGGCGGTTTAACTAGAAAGATGTTCTCGGTGAATGCAGAAAAGATTCTCAGAGGGTTTCTGGGGATGGCTGGGCTTGCATATTCTTGAGACGAGCCTCCGTAAGTCTTTGCCCTACCTGAATTTCCTCTAAGTGGTGCTAAGTATCGAGCAGCTGCCCCGAGTTGTTGAACTGGGAAAGATGGTGGGATGGGCACGAGCCCCCTCCTCTCTCAAAAGATGAGAGCCTGACAAGGACATTTACTGGGTCCCCACCACCCAAGATGAGACTTAGAATGTCTCCTTTGGCAAAAATAAGTAAATCGGGAACAGGAATTATTGGCGTCCTCTCCAACTGTTCGAAAATGAGTAGTTTTTTCATTTCCTTGATTGGTGGGAATCAAAAGGGATGAACATGAACATGAGCTAGGTAGTTGAGGAAAGCGTGATCTCTAAATACTGCTCAGGATCATCCTTTTTGCCCCCCTTGCCTGCGGCGTTTCTATTAAGAGGATGATCATTAGCTGTATTTACCCAAAAGTGTTCCTCTCACGCTTCATCAGCTCCTGCTGCTCCTTTCCCAGCTGAAGCCTCCTCACCAGCATGGGGCAGTCTTTGGCCATAAGAGAAATAACGTGGAGGCCATCAGGTGTGAAGGAAACAACAGGAACGACTGAAGCCTGAAATAAGGGCCGGGGAGCTCAGCTCTAACGCGCTGAAATAAAGGCATCAAGAGAGGGAATAAAAAAAGAGAAAAAAGGAACTATCCCAGCAGTCGCATAATTTACCCATAAACTAGGGATGCATATTCCTTTAATGCCTCATGGCAAACCTTAAGCATCTAGACAACTTCTATTTCTTTTTTTTACTTAAACCTGCATGTTTTGCAAAACAAAGTGGTAATAATGATAAAAGCCCTAAGCTCCGTCCTATAATCCAGAGGAGGTGGGAGGGTCATCACGCTCTTGTGAGAGCTCTCGGTGCTGCCAGCCAGGGAAGATGTCAGCCTGCCTGCAGCAGAACTGAGAAAGTGTTGACCGTGACATTCTGTCTTGCATCCCCTCGGGCATGAGAGAATGATCTTGCAAAAACAATACTGAGGAGGAGGCAGCATTAAGCAGTAAACCCTCTATTCTCAGAGATGCCTGGAGACTACGGTATTCCAGTGAATCCCCATTTCCACATTTTCTCCTTGGCAGTACAAACCACAGGAAAACTAGTAACCTGACTATAAATAATCCTTCACCTGTTAATGACTGATGGAGCTAAATGTACTGACCACAGCCATCCCATTAAGTCCAAGAGAACTTGATGAAAGCAAATGTATGAAAGAAAAAAAAAACAGCTTCTTGATCTGAATGCTGGCAGGCTTTCCAGACAGTAATACCATATGTAAGCCTGTCATGAGCAAAGGTCCTGTGCCTGCCCTCAGCTCTGTTCTTAATCAGGAGATCTTTCATTTTGTCTGTATTTTATTAGAGAATGCTAAATAAGCCTTGATGATTATTTTCCAGATTTCACAGATTACCCCAGTGGTTAAAACTCAGTGTAGATAGGAAAAAAAAATGAATGAACAAACAAAAGAAAGAAGGAAAGAGGAGAGAGAGAGAAAGAGGAAGAAAGAAAGGAAGGAAGGAAGGAAGGGAGGGAGAGAGAAGAAGGGGGGAAGGATGCACCTTAAGAAGTTAAAGGATGGGGAGCCCATTCCTAGTTTGAGAGCTAAGCATGATTTATTAAGAGGTCGCCCTGGAGAAGTGTGTAGAACAGGATAGGTAGAATACGTAGGATTTCAACCAGCAGGGCTACGTTATTAACACAATTAACCTGATGTCAATACAGATGACTCCTCACAGCATACTGTGTAAAAACACTGCCCCAGGGATTAAAAGGAGACTCCCATCCATTCATCCACTCATTCGACAAATACACATTGAGCACCTACTGTATGCCAGCCCTGCTGGTAAGAGGGAGACAGTAGTGAATGAGAGAAACACCTTGTGGAGCGTGCATTTCGGCCAGGTCAATCTAAACCAACCCTAAGTGTGTGGACAAAGAGGGAGGAAATGAAATCATTCTTCTCCTGCGGCTCCTTCCACGTAACCTGGATGCTGGAGTCCAGACTTCCACTGAGACGCGCCCCTCAGAGCCCTCAAGCTTCCTTCATAGCAACCCAGATCATGGAGAGACCATGCCTGATGGAGTGTTCCAGGGGCTGTTGTTATCGTCAGAGTAACGACTGTGTGGCATATGACAAGTGCTCAGCAAGTATTTGATGAATGAGTACATTTTGGAGAATTTCCTAAAAGGCTTCAGAACCCTGAAAATAAAACATGGGTCTTATTCCTATAAATATCCAACATGAAGAGAGGCCAGGCTCTTAAGAGGACACGAGAGTTTCCTGTGCACTTCGCCCTGTACCTCTTTAGCTTACAACTAAGGGGATGGCCAGGTTACTCCCTATCCTCTCAAGTAAAGTCCCAGACTAGCAAAGACTACAGGAATTGCCCACCCCCAGCCTGTGATAATCCCCCTGCCTTTGCAATACAACCAAACTCCTTTTCAGAGAATTCGTTTTATGTTACCATGTCCCCGTGTGGGAGGGATATCACACAGGCACCACACTTCCCATGTGACCAGTAAGATTAGTCAAGGCCATGGGGCTGGACAGGGTCAGAGTCCTACTGGTTCCATATCTTAGATCAGGTACAGGCAAGTTTAAAGCCAACCTTGGACTGGCCCAAAGGGTCAAGTTTAGAGAGCAATGAACTTCCCTCCTTCCTATCTAGGGTCCATCCTCAGCATACCCAAACAGCAAGGTCAGTCCAAACCAACCCCAAATCCTTGGCACCACAAAGTCATAGAGTACATGGTGTAGGTTCTGGCCCAAGTGTTCAGGCATCGATCAGCATCCTTCCTTGGGGTCATCAGGAACCAGTCAGACTCTTTGACCAATCAACGAGGGCAACAATCTCCGTAGAAATGATTCCTGAACCCATCAGACTTTTTAAGGCTTCAGATGTTAGAGCACTGGCTGTGCTGCCTCTCCCTTTTAGCTGAGAGGACGTGACCATCAGTAGGAGTGTAGGCCCATCTTACAGCCATTACAGCTGCTCCCTCCAGTTTCCATGTTGGATTAATCACTGGTTGATTAATCTGAGCATTAGCTGTTTGAGCATTAGCTGTTTGTCTAAGCTTTCCATTAGCCCTCCCCAAATGCTGAAGGAGTTAGGAGGAAAGCCGTTTTGGAAAAAGTCATTCCCTGGAGTGTCCCAAGGTCCATCAAACAGCTCCAGTCCACGGCTCTAGTGTTGTTTTCCCAAGTCCTGGTCCTGGGCGTCTAGTGCCGGGAACTGAAAGACCGCCCTGATAATGTTCCCCCGTTACGAACCTATGAGTCATTTATCCCCAGAGGAGAAATCTAATGAGCTTTTTGCAGAATGACAGGCTAACAAAGCATCTGTGTGCCCCTTGAGCTTCATACATTCATTTGTTCAACAAATATTCATTGAGTACCTAGCCTGTTTGTTCTATAATGGGGGTATGTTGGTGAACAAAAGTGGGATCCGGAAATGGTACCTTTTCATGATGGGCAGGGGCCAAGCAGTCCTGCGGAGGGCCCTCTGAGGATGCTGCTTCTCCGCAGGAAGAGAACAGCCCAGCCTCCTGTCATTAATGACTTCCATAATTACCCTCGGAATGGCAGAGGCAAATTTTCCCCTCGAGTAATCAAAATAATTGCCTAGAGAATGGGGGCTCAGGAAGAAAAGGAATCCGCTGTAGGGAGCTGTGGTGACATGAAAGGAACAAAAACACCTGAGGTGAGAGCATCGAGGGAGAAATAATCACCAGAAAAGCCTCAGAAGCACAGTCTTGAGCGAGGAAAGTATGGGGCAGAGCTGAGGCGGAAGTGGCAGAGAAAACCTCAGTCTCCAGAGAGATCAGTCCACAGGGAGCCCACCCACCTTCCTCAGGCTGCCTGATAAGCTTTCTTCTTCTCTCACTCAGGGCACCACTGGGTTTGAAGCACATATTGATAAGTGCTTGGAGCTGGCAGAGTATTTATACAATATCATAAAAAACCGAGAAGGATACGAAATGGTGTTTGATGGAAAGGTACGTATTCTGATCTCTACGGTCCCAGGAAGTTTAGTCAGTTCCAGTACTTATCACTGATTTTTTTTTGTTGTTATGTCAATCACGTACTGTCCAGGTAAGTGGGGCCATTACAAAGGAGAAGCTGGGCTGAGGGGGTCACTGTTCTAAGCTGGCGTAAAAAACGCAAACTCACAAAACTAACTCTGTATAGTGTGATGAGAGTCAGGCACTGCAAAATGATTACGGGTTTAAAACAGGAATTCTATTGGGAAGCTGCAGAATAGATTTGAAATGCCCTTGGGATTTTCTAAATTGCCACGATGGGCCTAGTGTGAATCTTACTTTCTTCCTTGTAGCCTCAGCACACAAATGTCTGCTTCTGGTACGTGCCACCAAGTTTGCGTGTCCTAGAAGACAATGAAGAGAGAATGAGCCGCCTCTCAAAGGTAAGGGATACAGGCTCTTCTGGTCCAGACCTCGGTGCGTCCACTGGGCCTTTCACATGCATGGCGTCTCTCTGCCGTGCATATGTCTCTAGGAGAAACCCAACCTTGACCTTGGTGCACAGGCGCGCTCCCCTTCCTGGACTCCTACGAAACAAAGCCATTCGGAGCTGGTATATCTAGAATTTTGACTACTCTGTTTGCTTCTTTTCTTCTTTTTTTTTTTTTAAAGATTTTTTTATTTATTTAACAAAGAGGGAGAGATCACAAGTAGGCAGAGAGGCAGGCAGAGAGAGAGGGGGAAGCAGGCTCCCCGCTGAGCAGAGACCCTGATGCGGGGCTCGATCCCAGGACCCTGAAATCAGAACCCGAGCTGAAGGCAGAGGCTCAACCCACTGAGCCACCCAGATGCCCCAGCTTCTTTTCTTCTGAGAGCAAGTTTATGCTATCTTAAAATAAGCCATCAGGTGACAGTTTTGCTTCCATTCACGATGCAATAAGAACCCTTGGTGAAGTTGGCTGACCTGCCCAGCAAAACCATTAGAAGCACAGAAGAGATTTCAGGAGCCGGCAATGGTTAGAAATCGGGGCCACTGTGACCCCTTGAGATGCTAAGGTCAAGGCCACCCTGTGGAATCTTTAGAGCCATGGTGAACCCCAGAAGGGACCAGGGCAGGAACAATACTAACAGCCACCGTGTAGAGCACACACCGTGTCCCAGGCTCAACTCTGATCTAGCATTAGATCACTCAGCTATCGTAAGTGTTAGAAATGACTAAAGAAGACGATTTAGGTGATGTAAGCAAACTTGATTTAACACTTCATGAAGCAGGCAGCCTCCATTCCCAGGGACCCACAGAACTGCAGAATGGGGTGGAATGCAAGAAGCTTTTATAGGATTAAGAACAAGGAACGAGAAGAGACAGATAGAAAATGAATAAGGAGGGGCACCTGGGTGACTCAGTTGGTTACGTGTCCAACTCTTGATTTTGGCTCAGGTCATGATTTCAGGGTCGTGAGATGGAGCTACGTGTCGCACTCTGCACTGGGTGTGGGACAAGCTTGAGATTCTCGCTTTCCCTCTCCCCCTCCCCTCCCCTCCCCATTTGTGTGCTTACACGCACACATTCATGCACCCTCTCTCACTCTCTCTAAAAAAGAAAGAAAAAAATGAGTGAGGAACAACAAAATAAGTACAGAGCTAGGGTTGGCTTGGTCTTGGGGATTGGCTGACTGGATTTTCCATGTTTCTTGTCAAACAGAGCATTTACAAGGATGTGAAAGTTAAGTGTCTGTTTCCTGATGTGATATCTGGACAGGAGCAGCCCCATCGTGGGTCTAAACACTTACTTCAGTCTGAGAAACCTAGTGTGGGAAGCATTGCTGTCTCCCCATTTTCCTATGGGGAAACTGAAGCACAGGGAAGGGAAAAAAAAAAAAAAAAAACCACTTTCCCCAAATCACTGAGTCCAGAGCCAGAGGGCTTGAGATTCAGAGTTCTGTAGCCAGTAATATACCCTTGATCTTTTTTCCTCTCCTGCTCTCATCATTTACACACGGGTGAATTTGGTTTACGATGTACCCAAAGAGAATCTTGAAGGGAGGTAAATGTGGGGCCACATCCCAGTGTTGAGGAATAGGAAACCAGGGATGATTGTGTCTATTTGGATCTCAGAGGCTGGGTTAGTTGGTTCATTTGTTTTCCATTTATCACAAAGAAGGGGACTTCTTCCAGTCGCTGCCAGGAGCAGGGCAGGCCCTCTCCCTCACTGTGAAGAAGGCTGGGTTGCCTCACTGACCTTTCCGAATACTTCATTTCCTTCTATGTCAAACAGCAGGATTTTGTGTGGTTTAAAACCTCCAGAAAGGCTTATAAATGTGAACACCTGCCAGAAGACAATCCAGGATCAGACCCTCCTCAGGAGGAAACCGACGCATGGTTAAGGTGTTTCAGTCAATCTTCCGAATTAGAGTAATGGTTTGCAATCCTGGCCACACACTAGAGTCAGTCTGAAGTTTTATAGAAAACACCGATGACCAGGTCTTAACCCTGAGAATTTAATTCAGTTGGTTTTGGGATGGGCTTGGGAATGGTTCTAAAAGTTCTCCAGGTGATCCCAAGGTGCAGCCCAGCCTGAGAGCCACTGACCTAGAGGAATGTATGGAAGAAAGCTTCTAGAACGGGGATCTATTGGTGCATGTGTCTGGGTAGAAGGGGTCATGGTCATGTCTGAAGTGTTAGTGAAGTTGGCTCATTTGCTCATTCCCAGAAATCAAGCTCAAGAGGTGGGAGGGAGGCAGGGTGAGGGTCCCACTGAAGAAGACGCTAGGGAGGCAATAAGGGGCCTGTTGTCATTTGACAGGAAAGAAATAATATTTTTTTTCCTGAGGTTTTAGGATGCGGCTTCTCCATAGTATGTATCATCTTACCCATAACTAATTTTGTTTAACAAGTTAGTTAAAAATTAGATGTTTCCATTCTTACAGGCTTTACCTCTTTTATAAACCCACTGACCAGACAGAGTCCATGGAATAATCTGGCCAATTTCAATTGTTGAATCAATTCATTATTGCTGGGGTGAGGGATGGGGCAAGATGAGAAAACAGAACAGAAAGTGAGGTTTCCCATCACTTTCTGTGCAAAAATCAACCCTGAATCCCCCCCCATTTTAATATAGCTCTCTCCAGATGCCTCTCAGGTTTTAGCAAATCACATAAACTACGATGGGAATGGAGATAATTTCTTGGGGAGAGCCATGAGAATATAAGTCAATTATTTTTATACAGTTGGTAATTCAAATTTGAAAGTCTGGGGATTGCAAAGTGAGTTCTCTTAATTTTTTCCTCTTCTGGGATTCCATTTTCAAGATAGAGAATTCAGCAAGTCAGAGTTGGAATTCACAATACAACCACATAAAATATCAGGGTTAACTTTTGTTTATTTATATCAGTAATTTTTCAGAGTCACACAAAAGCTTCTTCTTAAGTACAAAGCCCTTAAAGTATAATGTCTAGGGACCAGTAAATCTTCACACACACACACACACACACACACACACAATCCCAGAGGGAAAACAGTGGAGATAAAATAAAATAGATCATCTGCTTTTTCATTTTTCCAGAAATTTCATTCATGATTCCAAGATTTTGAAACAGAAAGGTTTTGTGACACATAGTGAAAAAATACATTTCCATGATTCCGTGACTTTAACCTGAGATCTCTTGGGAGAAAAAAAAAAAAAGTGGATTCAAATTATGGGATAGTTCTCTGGTTGTTTTCTAAGGGATTGAAAAATCTCATGACACAAGGGAGAAAATGACATCCTAAAACTCATAAAGCAGCCCCAAGAGCTTCTGCTGAGGTCTTTCGTGAAACCTTCAACGTGTAGCCTCTCTTTCCTGACTATCTTTATTCAACAAATCCAAGAATGAGATCAAAAGACAACACCTCAAAATAAGAGAAAATGTTATAGACTCATCAGAAGAGTCAGACTCTTATTTTCCTTCTGTACTTGCAATTAGTGATTATTCAATGAAGTAGATGTTCCATGTCCCTGCTAATTTTAGTTCATCTACATTTTCTGGAAGCAGCCAAAAGTCATATGTGTTTAGACAGCTGTGATTTCTCCAAGCCAGCTAGCTTCAGCAACTGGAAGGATCCGATCTGACTTTATACCAAAACCTGTTTGGGATGATGACTGTTACTATTTAAATTTTTGACCTTTGATTTGATTTGATTTATCTGAAAAGTTAGAGATGATTGTCTTTAATAATAAATACCATTTCTATCTGGTTTTGCTTGGATTGCCCATGAAAATGAAATCAGAGTTTAATTCACTGAGTAAAGCATTATCATACCTTGTTTTTAATCAGTTCTAAAGAATAAGCATGATTTATTACACAAATAAAAATTAAGGAATAGTTATGTGATTCTTCCAGAAATTCCTACAGACACATGGATTTGGAATTCCTTTTCTATGTATGTATTTACATTTCAATTAAGGAATAGGACAAGGAAATAGTCTATAAACAGATGCTATGGGTAAGGATCATGTGTTTACCACTTAAAAGAGAAAAGATGCTACTGGACTAGGGGAGTCAGGAAAGGCTTTATCATGGTTGTAAGTCTGTGGGGAGTCTTGTGTAGGATGTGACATGGGAGAGAAGGGGGACTCGAGGCCAAGACAACATGTGTGACACAGTAGGACTGAGAACAAGTGTGAAGGGAGAAAAATATACATGGCACATTCAAGGGATTTTGACTGTACATCTTGTCAGAGTTGAAGATTGATTTTAGTGAGCACTGGAAGATGAGTTCCCAGAGTTGGGGGACAAAATACCTTTGCACTGAGCTCAAGAGTTTGAACTTCATCTCCTACACAGTCATCAGAGAACTACTGACGCTATCTATAATCATTCTGGCGTACATGGGGTAAAATCTCGCCTATGATCCTCGTCTGTAATGTTAAGTCTTTGTGGGCTCTACTTTTGGCCTCAGCTGATCTCCATCATGATTAAGGAATGTATTTCAAAAAATCTTACAAACTGAGATAATGCAAAAGGAGAATGAAAAGAAACTGGAAGGCTTTAGGGTCTCAAGAAAGAAAAGTGCTTTAAGGCCTCAAAATTCTGCTTATTTTCAGACATCACTGGAGATTGATGCTTATCTCTTGGTAACCATTCTCTGCGCTATGTTCTATTTCCAGTGTTTTTACTTCTACTGAGGAAAAAAACAAAAAGGCCTCCCTGAAAATGTTATATTGCTAAACCATTTAGCCTTGGAACCAATACCCAATTCTTCCCATTCTCCCAAATCCATAACTACAAGTTGTTAAATAAAAAAACTCAACTGAGTATGTTTTAAAGATCTAATTGGCGTTAGGCAGCATCCCATCTAGGAAGTAGATGGGAGCTCCAAGGGGCTATAGAAAGCGAGAGGTTTTTAAAGGTAGGACAAGGAAGTCACAAACAGAAAAGAGAATTATTTTGGGTGAGCTCGTCTTTCTTTGGGGAAAAGGGTCTTATGAGGTGATTACCTCATGTTTCTTTGGGGGATGGGGAGGGGCCATGGGACTAAGTACCATATTGGTGCTGACCAGAGGATTCCTTACTGACCAGTTAAGAGTATATTCCTGGGGGAAGTTGAAAGTGCAGTTGGGTTAGGTATAAAGCCCAGGGTTGGCGATGTGGCCTAGCATGACTCTATTGGGGTCTGCAGTTTTCTTTTTCACAAGGTCAAGGATGAGGGGGCAAGCACCTGAGAGCCTATCATTTATCACTCATCTTATCACCTTCAAGAATTTGGATGTATTAAATTGTCCTAGTGCTCTGATACAGAAAAAAACAAAAAACAAAACCTTGGGGACTGTTCCTTTAATGGAAACAAATATGAGTCTGGTTGTTTACTTAAAAACTAAAAATGCTACTTGATATTGGGTTCTTTTAGTAGAGGAAGAGTCCCCAGGGATCACCATGTGGCTCTGGTCTCTCCCACAGGTGGCCCCAGTGATTAAAGCCAGAATGATGGAGTATGGGACCACAATGGTCAGCTACCAGCCCTTGGGAGACAAGGTCAATTTCTTCCGCATGGTCATCTCAAACCCCGCAGCAACTCACCAAGACATTGACTTCCTGATTGAAGAAATAGAACGCCTTGGACAAGATTTATAATAACATAGCTCACTAAGCTGTTTCAATTCTCTAGGTAGACAATTAAGTTGTCACAAACTGTGTGAATGTATTTGTAGTTTGTTCCAAAGTAAATCTATTTCTATATTGTGGTGTCAAAGTAGAGTACAGTTTAAAAATCCAAAAGACATTGCTCCTTTTAAAAATCCTTTCCTAAGTTTAGAATACCTCTCTAAAAATTAGTGACAAAAGGCTGTGTTCTAATCAATAATGAAAAGCTTAAAATTGTTATAACTACTTCCCTTACTTTTAATATAGTATGCAAATCAAGCTTTATTTTCACTTCAGAGTAGTAGGATTGAATAGTGCCAAATTGCCCCTGAATCCTAAAAGGTTCTTTGGGGTGCAGTCCAAAGGAAAAAGTACATATAAAATGTATGTTGACAATAAAAACTCTTGCCTTTTTCATAGTATTAGAAAAAAAATTTCTAATTTACCTATAGCAACATTTCAAATGTATTTAAATACATATAATTTTACAAAAGGAAAATATATATATTAAAAAGAAATCCTATTTTGTAACATATAGATTTTTATTTTATATGGGTTATACAAACTGCAGGGGCAGATATAAAAACTAAGCCAGATTTTTTTTCTCTTTCTTTTAATGGAGGCACAATAAAACACTGAGTAAAGTTATTTTGAAACATAGGCCCACAAAATTCTTAAAAGGTATGATGCCTTCTTTCTATTCATGTGAGGGCTTACCATATCTCTAAAGTTAGTATTACAAAATAAACACAAAAGAATATTGTAGGTTCTTTAAAATGACTGACCAGATCGACAAAATGATTCTCTTCTCAGTTGAGTTTTCTGCCCAGTTGACCCTGAGCAGACCCACTCAGTAAGCATGAAAAGCCAAGCTTCATCTTAGACTAAAACTAGGGTAATTGTTTGGACTCTGCTTTCCAGTTCAGCTTTTTTGAACAGAAGGTGGATGCCCATTCTTGAGACATCTTCCCAAACCGTATTCTTTTATTAGGTCATTTGGATTAATTAGGGAAAATAAAAATAAAATCTAATCAGCCTGAACAAAAAGAAATGACGCACACTCCAGAAGGTGGTGAGCCCAGAAAATTAAACTCGGCCTTGAGAGAAAGGATCTCTGTGTGAGAACAATGAAGTCATCCTGGGCACCATATTGTCACTGTCCAGAAAGGAGTCATTTACCTCCTGGGTAATTGCTTATTCCCATTCCCTCCCCTCTCCTACCCACAAAAGTTCTCTCCTGCTGGGCTCCCAATCACTGGAATCCCAAATAATTAATTTCTATCCCATGGGTGGTTATTTTCCTCTCATGAAGTGGTCTCCTCACCTGAAATTTTGAGACAGCATCCTAGGACCTTCTTTTATCTGCCACTCGTCAAGATCCAAAGTGACCAGAATATACAGAGATAGTAAGATCCTTAGAATTCAGGATAATATTTTAAAGCATTCTTCTTCCCCTGAAAACCTGATGGAGAGACCCAAGCTAACAAGAGCTCCCATAGATATTTGTGGGACCACAGTTTGTCAGGTTCCAAGTACTAGTGAGATGACTACAGACTCATCTATGCGGACTGCAGGTAGCAACTTAGAACATTCATTCTTTCTATATGTACCTTAGAAAGACTATAGGTATACAAGAGAAGAAAGAAAGAAATGGCCTATAATATAACCACAAGATCCAACCATCTGGAATCTGCATGAGCTTGCCCCTACATTCTTTCTCCCACATTATATCCAAAAACACTGACACTTGAAAGGAACATAGGTTTGGGTCCTTCCTGTCTAGGAAGAAAATGGGTTCCCTATGATGATTAGGAGAAAACTTTTATCTGTGCCCCAGAATTTCATGAAGGAATAGCCTCCCATTCGAGGTTATGTTTCATGGCCAAGCATCCCTTTCCTTTCTAGAAATGGGCCATTGAGACTAAGCACATAGCTGCCCATCTATCTGGAGCCTCAGGCCAAAAGGTCCTACCTCAGAGGCAGAGACACTAACTGTCAAACCCACTGTCCTGCTTGGAGAAGACAGTGAAGCCCAGGGCCCTGACATAGATAGACGCCTCTCAACTTTAGGATGCTATGCCTTGCAGTACAGATCCTCTAGGAGAAGCTGCTGCTTTTTAACTTGACAGTATGATGGAATTTAAAAGGAGAAGCATTTGCACCTGTGTATGAAATTCCAGCAAAATAATTTTTACAAATAGGTTGTTTTCCCCTCTCCCTGTCCCTTCCAGATCCTTCCCCAAGTTGGCTGGGAGTCTTGCTCAATTCTATGCAGTGAAATTCCTGCCAACCACAATCCAGCAAAGGAGGTAAATAAAAGCCCAATAGGTCCCAGTAGTCAAATAAAATATTCTTTAAAGTAGGTCTGTAATCTACTTGGAAGAGAGAGAGGGAGGGAGGTGGTTGTGAACATTAGGTCAAATTCCCGTCCAAAGACCTTTATGTGGGACCATCCTTTCCAAATTTTAGAAAAGTCTAGGGTTAGGTTAATCAGATTTGGCATGGCCATTTTCATTTATTCAGCAATATTGTGTTCATTATTTTTAAATACTTGAAAAAACGTGTGGTATGTCTTTATCTGAGATGCAAAAACAATATTGACTTTGTGTACTGTCACAAGGCTGCAAAGAAAGCAAAGGAAATCAATCGTGTGTATAAATTGTGTTGCCTTCCTTATATTGATAGTACTGTCTTGTCACCTCAGATTGGGGTTGTGCACTTTAGCTCTGAACTGTACAGTGTTGCAAATCAACTGTGTTGCTGTAAAAGCTTGTACAATATATTATTGACATGTCTTTTTCTGTGTGGTAGCTGTATCGATATTATGAGAACAACACCCGCATCTGTTCTGTGCGCGCTCTCTCCCTCTCTCTGCTAAACTGTATGCCCTCCACATCTGCTCTAATAGAGAACATGCCCTCATCTAAGCTCCCTACTGAGAAATCTCCTTTGAGAACAGTGTGATTACACAAAAATGCAAGGGGAACGCCGCTCATCTCCGAGAATAGAGGAGACCCATATGGAGTGTCACAAACCGCCCAAATTGCAGGTATTGTCCCCACTGGGGTTTGGAGTAGGAGCCACTCCTTAAGGACATGGATGTTCTGGTGTAAATATAGTAGGGTGTAAATATAGCAGCAGGACAGGGAATCAAGGACCCTCACGGTGGGTATCATCTTGCACGTGCTCTCCTGTTTTCAGATGCTACGTACAAACACTGTGTATTTATTAGTTTTGTGCTCCAAAATACTGTTCCCAATTGGTGTTTCTGAAAGACATCAACATCTCCCCAACATTATGCCATTTACTAAAGACAGAAAAAAATAAAACATATAAACACGTGACAACCTGTTCTTCTTACCAAATATAAACTTGTGTATGATCAAAGTATTTTATCTGTGTTGTCTCTCTAAACCCAAATAAATGTGTAAATGTGGTCACGTCTCAGGCTCTGCTTGCTTATTTCTGATTTTGCCTTGTTGTGGAGCTCATTTTTAACAAGTTCCCTGAATACAAGGACCTTGCCTTTCACAGAGGTCTGAGGGTCTTTGGGTCTTTGTTGGAAAAAAAAGGGCTCTTACTTCTGCCATCACTCTTACTGTCACTTTTGAAGGATATTGTTTTACCCCCCACGCTTCAATCCTTGAAGCTGATCCAGTCCTTTTTTTAGAAAACATTTTATAATGGAAAATTTCATATACATATAAAAGTAGAGAAAATAGTAAAACAAATTCTTACAAAGTTTTCACCTAGCTTCAACATTTACTGATTCAGAGACTGAACATCTTTTCACCTATTCCCCCACCCCACATCCTCCCTAACACCAAATTATTTTTATATGAATCTGTACAAGTTAAGGGCTCCTAAAAACAAAACAAAGTCCTCAATACGATGATCACAATTAAAAATATAATAACGTCACAACGGTAGCAAATATTCAGTTGATGTTCCCATTTCCCTGGGTCTCAAATCTATAGCAAAACCTATAGTCTATGGCTTGTGGCCCAGGAAAGCGAGAGAGGCCCACACAGCTTTCAGGAGAGCTGGGACATGGATGATTCAGGCCCACGATCCAGTGCTATATATACATGGGCTATGTGTATGTTCTTGTATATTACTGGTTATTTCTGCACCTCTGTGGGTTCTGAATCTTGGGGCTATCATGTTTAGGGGCTTTTCTCCAGTGCTCTTAGAGCTAAAGAGGGGCTGGCAGGTTAAACACTAGAAAACAATGGGAATCTAATTGGTGGAATATATCCTAATGTGCCTTATCAGGTCCAGGCTGCCCCAGTGGGTTCAAGATGCCCTTAAAGGTTTTAGTCTAGAGTAAACAGATACTACCTCAGGCAGACACAGGACTGGGGGAGGACACAATAAGAAGGGGGAGACAAGGTTTCTAGATAATTTCAATATTGCTTATAGGAGAACAAAGACAACAGCCAAAGGAGACAACATTTTGTGCATTACTGCCTTTGTTCACATTATTCCCTCATCCTGGGAAGAATCTCCCATTCCTCCTTGCCCTAGGAAGCAGAATCTCATGGATAGTGTTGCAATAGTAGATTTCTTCATGAGGTTTTGGAGGGGGTTAAATAAAATGTATGTATAGCACTCAGCATAGTGCTTTGCATCCAAAAAGCTTTCAACACTCTTGTTCTTGTACCAATGCTGGTAATTATATAAGACTTCTACAAGTCAGCTTTGTCACCCTCTGAATTCCCCAACTACTTGCTCTTGGTCCGTAGTGTTCACAGGCACTCCACTCATCTAACACGCTCAGGCTGGAAATACCATCTTTTGTAGTTTCTTCTGTTTGAACAATGTAGATTGTAAGCAGAGTCTATTTCTCATCCTTCTACATTATCACCCCTCTCTTTGTCCTCCCCTCCAGCAACACACATACCCCCGACAAAATTGTGCAGTCTCCACTGGTGTCCCACAAGTAGAAGGCACACACCATCCATACCAACACTGGATCTTCCCCTGGTGTGTGGTGTGATTCTAGACAAGACAACATCCTCAGCTGAGAAAAGGGGGGTGGGGGTGCACTTGATCTCCAAGGAAGAATGTAGGTGGTTTAAGATTACAGGTTTGGGACACCTGGGTGGCTCAGTGGGTTAAAGCCTCTGCCTTCAGCTCAGGTCATGATCCCAGGGTCCTGGGATCGAGCACCGCATCGGGCTCTCTGCTCAGCAGGGAGCCTGCTTCCCCCCTCTCTCTCTGCCTGCTGCTCTGCCTACTTGTGATCTCTCTCTCTGTGTCAAATAAATAAATAAAATCTTAAAGATTACAGGTTTATGAATGGGAGAAGATATTTTCAGCTGATATATCTGATAAAGGGAGGACATCCAAAATACATAAAGAACTTATACAACCCCACACCAAGAAAATCAAATAATCTGATTTAAAATGGGCAGAGGACCTGAACAGAAAATTTTCCAAAGAAGACATACAGATGGCCAACAGGCATTTGAAAAGGTGCTCATTTTCTCTCATCATCTGGGAAATACAAATAAACCATAAAAACCAAAAAACCATAATAAGATACCATCTTACATGCATAAAAATAGCTAGAATGAAAAAGACAAGAGACAAGTTTGGCGAAGGTGTGAAGAA